ATAATTACTTCCCAGGAAATTCCCAGGAAAGAATAAAACGGGCTGTTTCTCCTAATGGGCCGTTAGAACACTTTGATCTTTTCTTCAAGTAACACCCCTCCCTGTATCAGTCTGTCAAATTTCCATCTTTGTTTCAAAGTCTGGGTAAAATACTACTTTTTCTTCCTGGTAACATTTCCAGATTTTTCTAAGAGAACTAACTAATCGCCACACTTCAGAGAACACAGGACACCCCCTGAGGTTCACAGGTAGTATAACTGAAGGCAGCCCAACTAAGACAAATTTAACCTCATGTTTATAAAATCTGTTGGCACGTTTTGGTGAGAAAAAAAATTGTTTCTTAAATAGCCTCAGGATGTAATCCAAGCTCTATATAGATCAGCTTCAGGCAGTCCATGTTCTTCCAATTTACAAACGGAGCTCCATTTCTCATTACTCCCCAATGTTTCATTCTAAGCCAATCCCCATCTATCTTTATAGTTTTTTAAAACATCATCTCAGTGTCATCTGAAGTGCTGATGAATAACCTAGTATAGTGACAAAGATTCAGAACACTGAAATAAAAAAAAAGCCCAGCTGTAACTAACAAACCCTTGAATACCATGTGTCTATTCACCCAATCTATAGGCTGTTGGGAAATTACTATATAAACACAGCAATTTACCGAGTTGACTCCATATATAGTCATCTGGTCTGTGCAATGCAAAAAATTAAGAAAACAAAGGAAACCACTGAACTACACTTTGCTTGCTTGCCTGAGTTTTATCAGCTGTACAGATGTCATACCTTAAGAAATCATAAATTCAGATTCCTTCCTCTATCACAGCTCCTGATAACTGGTAATGAACAAACATTCACAACATTTAAACTCAGGACATTTGAGCTAAGTCATACCAACTTCAACCATTATTTTGCCAGTATCTTCACTCTATACACTATTTCAGTCTCCAGAAAGAATACTGCAAGGAGGCCAAACAATTCCAAAACTTGAGAAAAGAACATGGCAAATTTTTCCTGGTTTCCTATTCTAACAAGTTTCCAGCTCTTTTCCAGTTTAATTTTTAATATTCTTAGTTTTCTCAAAGGATGAAATTAGAAATTTCTTCCTAAACTAAGAATGGGATCATTTGACCTTTTAATTGCTACAGACATCTGTCACTAAGTCTAGCAGGTAGGACACTAACACTTGAAAAAAAATGGCAATGCACTTTTGTTCTACACATAACTGTAAGAAAGTATATATTCTTACTATACCAGAATATTAGGACACATTATATAAAAACTAAAAAATGAGACACTATTTTCATAACCATATTTTAATTTTTTGAATTTTAACAACTCAAAATTCAGCCAGTTAACATAAATACAGAGTAAATGCACATAATTTACAGCCACATACAGGAATTCAAGAATAGCAAACCTCACACAAATGGTCAAAGAACATCAACTCTTTGAAGTTGATTATTTAGCTACAACTGACAGGTCATAATTTAAATGTTCACATATGCAGGGGTACACATTCAAAATGTTTAACAACACAAAAATGGAGTAAAAGAGGAATCTTCAGTTTCTAAAAGGAACAGCAGAAAAAGCAAGAGTATAGACTGAGAAATATAAGGGCACAATGGAGAAGAGATTTGTGTAAGCTGAAAGTTTGTACACTGTATTAAATATTTTTATTTAATTAAAATCCCCTTCCAATTTAAATCATTTAGAAATATCTGTATTCTTAGGAATGTTGAAGTCATGATCAGTAAAGGCTGAACTATGACATCCACCAGCCCCAAAGGGGTCCTGATGGTACCAACAGTCTGGGCAGAAGAGCATGTAAACAACAAAAGACAGCACGGACAATGCTGGAAGATTAAAGGATAAACTGATTCCTAGCACTTAATTCTTTCAAGGTCAAATCAATATTTTTAGTGATCTAAATCTAAAAAATGCTGACATATTTATACTCCAGTTAAAGAGTAAACACTCATTCTTCTTAACAACCCAAACTCAGCTATTCCTAATATAACAATGCTATTCCATAATGGGCATTTGGTTTTAGGAGACAGAGACATGGTTAAATAATGTAAATAATATTCTCTCTTGGTGTCAGTTTAAAAAAATCAATTACTTGCGGGTCCCATCTAGTAAGATTGGTTCCGCAAAGTAACACACATAAGGAAAACCAAGACAAAAGCTTTGGTGACACAGTTTTTTCCCTGGATTTAGAAGCACTGTGTGGTACCCCACAATCACAGGTTGGTGATTCTCAGATGTACACTTTGAAATCGAGTAAACTGTTTCTGTGAGTCAGAAGTACCAGAGTTCTAATCTGCTGCTCTATGAATATGCTCTTCAATATGTACCGCGTTGAACTGAAAGGATCAATTCAATTTTCTGAGAAGATTCTCAAATAAAAGTACATACCAATTTGAAGAGTGCTGACTACCTCTATACAGTAATAAAGTTATCTGACAGATGAAAATTAAACACAGTATAAAAAAATTTCAATGCTTTAAGTGTGGTTTTCTTTTTAAATGTTTGCACAAATAAAAAAAAATCCCAAGAAATGTTTCAGAGACAGACTTTATATACAATTTATATATATATATTTTTGTTAAATTATCTGTCATAAACTGCAGCAGACTGTGCTTTTGGGGGGACAAAACAATTAAACATCATCGCTTCTTTCCAGTTGCTGCACAAAGAAACAAAGTCTGAGACTCTAAGATCCTTTTCTTCCAGCACAGAAATATACTCACTTTTAAAAGCTGAATACAATGCACTAAAAGGTCAAAACAAATACAAACAGAAACAGAATATGAGTTCATCCTTGAAGGACACTTGTTATGAATGTGCTACAACTAAATAAGATGTTCCTTAGTTGCTGGTTTTCATATCATTCTTAACCATTTGTGGGTATTCAGATCACTAAGATTATAAAGTCTCTTGTACATTCGATACAACTAAAGTTTACACATCTTCACAAGGCAAATGGCACTGTATTAGGCAGTATAAGCGGCACCTGAAAATCAAAACACTATAGGTTGACACTTTCTCTACAGATTTAAGTTATAAACCCTATTACTGTTTTCTTTTTTTGGCATGTTTCTCACAATAAATGTCAAAGTTGAAATTTACCATAAAAGATATGAATAATCCCAAAGGTAATGAAACTGAATTTGCCTTTGGTCTCCAAATAGACTGGAATACTAATTCCAATCAAAGCACCTCAAAAACATCCAGTTACTGTTGATTACAAGGAAGTTAAGAAGGTGGAGGAATTTAACAGGGCACTGTGCTTCACTGGTGACAGGGAGAAAACTTGCAATGACATGCTATGTTTTTTATGTTAGGGGCACTGCAGTACACATAAGAATACTTAAAACATTTATATTAAAGATCCCCCAAACAATATACCTAAATCCCAGAAAAAAATGTTATGAATACTGTTTCTGCCTAATACATTAACCAATGTTTTAAAAAAATAATCTAACATGGGAATTCTCTCCTACTCACACCACTCCCCCCAACCTCCTAAAAGGCCACAAAGTGCATTCACAAAGAGTCATTCTTAAGATAAAGCCATTGCACACAATGTACAGTTCATGTATACTGAAATGAGTACCACACTGGGGTTTAATGGTATAAGCTTCATACACCAGTACAGCAACAATCATAAGCAAAGGTCTTTAATATTACAGACTTACAGCAAATATCTTCATAAGGGCCATACATATAATACACTTACAGTATTAAAAGGTGCAGTTGATCTCAATAGCAAAATGTAAAAGCTATCTCTTGTTAACACACTTAATCTGAATTAACTTGCATCTTTTTTTATGATTTACTATTCAAGAAATTAGGATGGAATAAATTTCTTATTCAAAGGAGTCTGTTCACTTATTAAACTATAAGTCAATTAGGATCACTATCCACTCAATCAGATAACAGAGGCCCTTCTTCTATAAATGTTTATGCTGCCCCAGATACTTATAATGTTGCCTTAAAAAGAAAACACCTTTTAAGGGCAAAGATGAAAATTACCATTTTCTCTACTAAATAAATGCAATGTATGAAGATTTTCCAGAAATAATCCAAAGATTCAAATTCTTAATGTGAAACCAGAGAAAGATCCAGAAGCAGTACATTTTTTTTCACTTTAAGAAAATGGTACCTAGGTTTGATGGGTGATAATTCAAGTTCATAATTACTAAGTCACTGAAGAGACATTGCATTCATTCATGTATCATTAGGTTAGACAAGATAAGAGGACATGCTCAAGTTGTCGAAATGGCCAAGAATCAACATTTTACTGGCTTATTTTGTCCCAAACTATTACCATTTGAGTTGATACACTGAACAATTTTAGTGTTCACACTGGGCTGACATTAACACACCTGTGAGCAGTAGAAACCAACACATTTTAAAACTAAAAGTAAGCACAATATTTAGACACTATTTCATTTGTCAAAGACAGTGACTCCTAATACCGAACAATTAACTTTAAAATACAGTGCCAAATCCTCTCAAGGAAATGTAAATACTAGTATTGTTATTTTCCAATTTCATAGGAACTATATAGAAGCCGGAAGTTAGAAATTTATGACTGTTAATACCTTCTTTGGATAGTTCTAGTATATAGTTATGGATGGCTTTGTCTAGAAGATTGGAAAGTGCTCATGGAATAAACACTGTACTCTGGTTGCCATAAATCAACAAAATGCCAACGGTATCCTGCGGACATGATAGAGAAAATGGCAATTTTGAGGAAGGAGTGCTTCTAGAGGCTTTTTCTTGGAGGCAGCCATGGTTTTTTTTTTTTCACATTACTAAAAAGACTAAGTAATGTGGTTACAATTACTTTAATTCCTACAACCAAACTTCCACTTAGGCATAGTTCCATGTTCCCAGACTATTTTCCTTCTGTCCACCATGCTGGCTTTGGTACTCCATGGTCCAATTTCTCTTTTGGTCTTCCCTCTTTATAGCACAGCAGTTTGGCGGTGCTATCCATTGAGCAGGTAGACCACCAATTCATAGGTGGCCATCATAATGGCTGTGTTTGGAATCTGTCTCACCAGATGAGTTGTCAGACCACGGTAAAGAGACCCATAGCCTTCTTCTTGAACAAGCAAAGATAATGTCTGAAAAAAGGATCTATATTTTGTTCCCTCTTCACGCAGTCTTGTTCTTACAACTTCTGTATAGGAAGAAAAGAAGTCATGTTATTTAAATGTCAATAATATCTTTATACCCTCCTAATATTGAGCACACTCCATTTATCAGACTGTAAGCGTGAGCTCAGAATAAGTGAGGAGTGATTTTTTTAAATGTAACCTACTGACACTAGTTATTTTAACAACACCAAACTCCTAAGTTAGCTAGCTAAAATCACGCATATTAATTATAAAATTTCACAGGTTCCTGAATTGTAGAAGGCAGAATAAACAAAAGTATCTGTTGCATATTCGATACAGATAAAAGGGAGAAAAGATGTGATTTAAAAAAAAGGTAGAAAAGGAAAGAGAATACAGGTGGTATCAAAGATGAATACAGGACTTGCCTGATGGTACAGTGGATAGGAATCTGCCTGCCAATGCAGGGGACATGGGTTAGATCCCTGGTCAGGGAAGATTCCACATGCCAAGGAACAACTAAGCCCACGTGCTGCAACTACTGAGCCCGTGTGCGCCTAGAGCCTGTGCTCCACAACAAGAGAAGACACCGCAATCAAAAGCCCCTGAGCTCACCAAAATGATGAGGAGCCTCTGCTCGCCATAACTAAGAAAGCTCTCATGCAGCAACAAACATAAACAAATCTAAGGGGGAAAAAAAGCCTTATGCTACTCATACATATTTAATTCCATTATGATGAACTGTATTTTGTTATACTATAATTCAGTAAAATGATAAAATGTTCTAATAAATGGGCCACTGGCTGAAGTGGGAAAATATTTCAGAGTTAATGGATTACTTAAACACATTCAGGGTTTCCCTGGTGGCTCAGTGTGAAGAATTCTCCTGAGATGTGGGTTCGATCCCTGGGTCGGGAAGATCCCATAGGGAAGGAAATCACAACCCACTCCAGTATTCCTGTCTGGGAAAACCCATGGAAAGCAGTGCCTGGCAGGCTACAGTCTATTGGGTTGCAAAGAGTCAGACATGACTGAGCAACTGAGTAACAATATACACTGTCACGTCCTCTTACCATGTGGATATGCTATACTTGTGGCACACGTTTTTGAGGTGGCGGCAGCTAGCATCATTCCCACAAAATCTGACACTTCTTTTACAGACTCTTCTTCATTTTCCATTGTAGAAGCAATCTTATATTCCAGTAGTTTTTGCTTAATACTTTCATATATAACAAAATGGATAACAGTCTCTGATATGCCAGCATATGAAGCAGACATGCCCCTATAAAATCCTCTAAGTCCATCTGTCTGATACACTTTACGGACACACTCGAAAGCACCCATTCGCTTTTCCCCACGGTTCCTGAAAGGCAAAAAGGGAAAAAATCTTATTAACATAAATAAAGTAGTACAGGTTTTTAAATAAAGCAAATACAATATATAGGAAGAGGCCATTCTACTGAAGAATAACCCTCTTTAATTCATGAGGAAGTACAAATGGGAATTTAAAAACATTTAGAGTTCCTACTCTTTTGTCTCAAATCTGTCATATCAGACAGATAACTTATAATGTAGTTTATTTTACTGAATGCAAAACACACTACATTGAACCTCCAGTTTCACTTAAGTTTGTATTGCAGGAATAAGCAACAAATCCACTGTGACTGCAGTTCAAGAGAAAAACAAAATAAAAAGCCCTCACATTATATTAAATGCAGTTCTAAGTTGAGATTTCTTCAGCATTTAATAACACATAAAAATAACGACTGAGACACCAATGACAACAGAATATTAGGAAGTACAATTAAGGTAATTTCAGTGCACCTGAGGAATTCCTCCAAGCCCACCCAACTTCTCCCCAAAAGTGATTGGGTGAATTTAAGTCAAACTTTCTATGATCCTTTGAAGGTAATGGCTGTCTCTTTTACCTCAGTAAACAGTGAATGAGGACTTCACAGTTATCAAGTATTTTTTAAGCACTGTGCCCAAGACAACTTTCTTAGTGCTGCTTAAGGGTGCAGCATCTACTCTTGGATATAATTTTGAGTTCATAAAAACATTTATTACCTTCACTATGATTCCCCCAATAGAACTTTATCTTTAAGAAATGGGTTTAAATTCTACCCACAGGGAAAGAAATAGAAAAGTTAACTATTTATAAATTATATACAACCTGCTTATGATGTAACAAAATAAAAAAACAACTAAGACACCTACCTGATAACCTACAGATTCCTCCAACTTTATAAACTAGTAACTGTCTTGAATAACTATCCTCAACTAATGGTACAGAATAAATACCTTCTTTGTTGAATGATCCATGCAACCAACTGCAATTAGTTTCAGCGGTCAGATTCTTTCTTACAAGGAAGTTAAGAGACCTCTAAGTCCTACAGGATAACATGCAAACACATCCGCTCTATTCTCAGTCTCAGTGTTGTAAGGTAGCACACTTTCAAAACAACCTTTCACTACTACCCCAACCCCACTCCTAAGCCTAAAAAATTGTGCTAGCTTTACTATCATTTTTCACCTAAATCTACCCTCTAACATACTGAAGCATACATACCCCTTGTAGTTTACAACAGTACAATACAGACTGGCATCTCACACTTTTTAACCTTTGGGTTGTCTTATCTACCACTACCTTTCACATCTCTGACTTAGAAATAAACTTTGAGTCTTGCCATAACATTGTACTTAAGGTTTCACTAAAAATTATTCCAGATGAAACAAGGACTAGACATTTCAAGTCTCCAAGTGACATACAATTCCACATGACAAAAGATGGAAAACAGATCTTTAAGCAGGCATAATTGTTAATGATTTCTTAGATCAGTTTTATTTATAATCTACAAGATGTAACACTAGACTTCCCAAACCCTAAAATATAAGAAACAGTGAAACTCTTTTATACATAGCCTACTCCAGACTGAAGAGTTAAATTAGTTTCAAAACTATTAATGTGATTATTATTACAACACACCAGACAGGATCATCTCTCTAGTTAAAAAAGTGTTACCCTCTCCCCATCCTTCATTCTGAAGGCCAATGGGAGCTGAGAGTGCAGGACTCTAAGCCACACCGCTTCTGGCCTTTCAGTTCCCAGAACTTGCCACAGGCACTAAACCTAAAGATATATGAGGTGTGCACTGACTAATGCCTCTGCTTAAAATGGGTTAAAAAACCATTCATTGACTATTTCATTAAATTGGTCCCCACTGTTTCCAGAGATATCTCTAGAACCTACCAGTACCTGCTCATTACAGATGTACTGAATGAATGAATCTTGCTGCCGTAAAGTGACTGGGGGTAACAGATGAAGTTCATGAATACGTGAGAGCTAAATTCCATGCCAGAACACTCTGCTGTACAAGGTTCTTGAGTTTGAGCAACGATCCTCAAAGACTCAGTCTAGACTCACTGATCTTGTAGTTAGTTTATTTAGGTACTTAGAAGGGCTGATTATAATCACACATGGGGTGAATGAAAGTATCACTGCTCGAGCTAGGTCAACAGAGGTCCTTTTTCTTCCTCTTTTACTGAAAAACACAATGCATAATATACTTTCTTTCCTAGAAATTCTCATACATGTAAATTATTAACATCACTTTTGCATCTGATGGTACACCTAAGTTTCAAAACCAAATAAAACAAACAAATTCAGCAGCAAATGAGGGCAAAAACATGGTTAGATACCTGGCACTGAAATCTCACTGACATAAATTTATAGAAAAAATTTAGTTGAAGCCAAGTTTAATGAATTAACATACCTTGCATCAAGCTGTAATCGAGTCTTTATAAGCCAAATGGGGTTGGTCGCTGTGATTGCGGTAAAACCTAAACAAACATGTTTAAAATGAACTCTGGTAAAAATGAAGAACATACTATTAACCCCAAGGTTTTTTAAAACTTTATGTAAGTCTATATTTTAAAAAATGCATATAAATATTTACCTATAAACTGATGTATGCTTTACACTTTTGTTTTACAAATCCATTCACAACCATGAACATTTGTACTTTATTTTCAATTTAGTCTCAAATTCTGACTCATAACTAAAAAAATTTTTAAGAGCAAAATCTGATTATATATAATTCCTCTTCCAATACATTCCGAATACCCTCTGGGCACCCTCTAGTCTCTAAATTTAGAAACCCATTTTTGCAGACACACAGAAATTTTGTGTATTCTAGGGCTTTTTAGCATGCAAACTCTACAACAGCTACTTGGGGTCCAACTAACACCACAAATCACTAAGTTCAAAATGGAGTCTACATAAACATCAGCATTTACCAATATTTGATTTTAAGTTGACTATATGACAAAGAATTATTGTTTGGCCTTATGAATACTTTATGTAATCATACACTTATTAATACTGTTAAAATAATGGTTTCACAGACATATGGTTTCTGTTAAAGAATTAAAAAGGGCAGATCTATTTTTTCATCCGCTTAAAAACATACAAAAACTTAAAAGTACAAAAAGTTACAAATCAGAACTTCCCTTTCACTTTTAGACACTGAAGAGAGAAACTGAAGGTAGAAGTTAGCTTTATTATACTTTAAAACTAAAGTACTATGTATTAACTATCAGTGTGGAAGGGTGGTCCCCTAAGGTGGCTCATTTCAGGTAGTAAATTAAGATCTCTTGTAGGTTTCTAGGCTAGTGTGTATCTTTTACTTGCTATCTTCCTAGAGCTATGGAAAAATAGCACATGAAATGCAATCTTGATGATGGAAATTTAGGAAGATTGCTTCATCTATACAAAACAGGGTTTTCATAATATAATGCTTGTGAAATATTTAAGATTAGCTGCTACACAAATTTCATAGAATTACCTTTCATCAACCTACATTTATTCAATTGGCCTTTAAATTCAGGGAAAACTTACATTCAAAAATGTCTAAGGATCTTAACTGTTAATACTTTCTATCAAATATTAGCAGATCAAGTACAATATTTTTAGAAAGGCTTTGAAATATAATCACCACACTAATATTAGTAAAGTCAAATGATGTGGTATTACATTGTTTACTAATTGGAATTTAGTCTCACAGGTTCTTTCTCCTTCTATAATGTCAGATCATTAGCTAACTCAAATTTTACTCCTTTACTCCATTATAATACTGCAGAAATAGCCAGATGTTTCACAAAGAGATGCTCAAATTGAATCTCTTATCAACTAAGATAAATGAAAGAAAAGTTTGGTTTAATTAACTCTTTTAATAAAATTTTAATGATTATATAGTCTCCATTTCTCTTCAGTGCTTTTAATGCTACATACATACATATAAAACTATAAAGGGATCAACAATTTTGTAAGGATCAGCCAGTACCAAAACAATAAAAATTGAATGTGCTTAACAGAGTGTCAGGAAGATGTTTTAAAAGGTTCTTTTCATGCATATATTCTTGATAAAAGGAAAGAGAAGAAAACTATGAAACCAGATCAGTTTAAATATTTTATTTGGAATAGATTTGTGCATGGCCTGGCTTAACTGAGAATAAAGTTACGGATTTTATTAGAATAAAGTCTCTTGAATCTCATTTTTCTAAGTGAAAAAGTCAAACTAAAGATATTAAAATTACATTGTATATTTAAATTACATATTTAAATTACATTCTAAAGCAAATGTGAACCTGACATCAGAATTCAGATCATACCCCTAATTTAATAATCCTTTATTTTTAAACCTAAATATCTGTATTAGCTAAATGTCTGTACAATAATATTAGGAGTTTGTCAACAAAAGGCTGCTAAGCAGCACAAACCAACAAAATGCTCTGCATTACTCAAAATAGTTTTTATTAGTTATTCTGTGGAAATTTTAAGAAAAAAAATTTGCTTTTTATTAAACTTTGAAAGCCTAACACTGGGTATGCTTATAGCAAACAAGCATCAAAGCTTTCTAAAAAAATAAAGTTCTATGTCTAAAAATATAAACTGAGTACCTAAGTTTATGAACACTCTTCCAAGTCTGAAATTCCTCAATTAGAGGCTGAAAAAACCCCATATATGAAAACTTAAAATATTATATAATACATATTTGTAATTATTACTAGGGATAAAATTTTAATTACCCATAATTAAGTTTTAATTATGCTCTGTACATGTTAATAAACAATGATAGGAAGCAAACAACAGGTATTTCTCACTTAACTAAAATTCATTTCCAGATACAGACTGGCCTACGGAACATGACACACTGAAACTTCAGTGAAAGAATGACATCATCTGGTCCCCAGAGGGCCGGCGCTCACTACAGCGGGGACTCTCTCTCCCAGTGAAGGGCCAGCTCAATAAACACCCTGACTCGCTGTCAGCAAACCACTAAGCTAAAGAAAAGAATCGATGTATAATCCACAAGTCTTTTAGCTACTGTTCCTTTACCAGCTCTGGTCCTACAACATTCTCTTAACTGAAAACATTCTAATAAATTACAGAGATAGTATTAGGCTAAATGAAATCTAGAAAACATAATCTATTAGTTAAAAAATCAAACAAGCATGAAGAAACAAATTTATTACTAGCTTTGAATTATATATGGTAAGATGATTTGAAGCTGACAAACAGCTTAAGTTAAACACCTTCCTACTTCTTTTAAGATAAACATACAGAAAGATACTGGGAATGGCTCCCCTGAAATTTAGACGTTTCCTATTACTTTTATTTTGGCATTTAAATTTTGTGACATTTTGATAATATGCTATATCATATTAATATTTTGAGCACCCTGTTAAATATTAAAACTGACTTATCTATTTGTAGGTTAAAAAGAATCAATATTGCTCCAGTCAATAAAAGCAAAATGGCAATATACTGGTCATACTATTAGTAATATGGTTAATATTTTATTAGAAAGTTTAAAAAACCTTTTAAATGTAATTTTTAAAGTTTTGTTTCATTTAAAATTCTATTTGATAATGTAAACCAATTAAAAACCAGAACAACAGAAATCCACATAATAAACTTGCTGAAAATGTCTATTTCATTAAGTGAGTGATACCTGTAGTATTGCATTTTCAGTACTTTTTATTAACTTCTGTAAGAACAAAGCCCACCTTAACCTTTGAAGAGAAATATATTAAAAACAAAACAAACACAAAAAACTAATTAAAACTAAAATATGATCCTATATATCCTTATCCCGTATTTGAAAAGTAATGGCAGGTATTAAGATCAATGTTTTTGCAAGAAAGTAGAAAGCCAAGTATCAACAGACGAGAATGGAAAGCACTGTATTAGGCTTTTAAAATGTGTTATACTAAACAAAGAGAACTACTATTTTCTAAAAGTTGTCAGATGGTATGATATCACATTTACAGAAATCTTAAATACTATTAAGGAATTCTTTGGAGGTCAAGGCTATTATGGCCAAGCTAAAGACCCCAGGCTTTTGTTAACAGTAACTGAAAAGTTACTCCAGTCTTCCTTCTAGAAGGAGTTATTATCAAGGATCAGAATTAAAGTTTTATGAAATACTCAGATAACGCACAAACAAATTCAGGAAATAAAAATTCATTTCCCGCCTTCTATTCAACAGCTATTATAAATTCCCAGGGTGTGTTTCTTATAACTAGAGGCTGCAAGAGATGCTCAGATCAGTACTCACGAGGTTTAAGTTAGTCCATATTTCTACAGGAAGTGACCTGCGGATGGGGAGCATGAGATGACACGATCTCACTCTTTTCTCGGGAGAAATGTACAGTAAATGCCTAAAATAGACACAGGCTTTTCTGTATCATAACAACAAGCAGTGACCTCATCAGAAACATGTGTACAAAATGAATCCCATTGGAAGGATTTGAGAAATATTTACTGTGAGATCTAACTTTTGAAAATTTTAAGTTAAAAAAGAAAAAGGAATATCAGAATGGGCCATAATTTTTTTTTTTTAAAGTACCGAGTACTGAAAATTCTGCCATCTGTAGCAGTTCCGAGAGTCTAAATACTTACCCAAAAGAAGATCAATTTTGCCTTAATGAAAAAATGCTAACCTTGTCAAAGCAGAAATCTAAGAAAATATTCAGAGCAGGCTGTCATATCCCATTTTCCTACCATTATTATTTACCATACTTAGAGCTGAAATCACAAAATTTTCTGTTCTTTAAAAATCAGCTTATTTGGTAAATCTAAACAACAACAACAATAAAAAACCCAAAGGAGTTCCCTGGCAGTCCAGTGATTAGGACTTGGCACTTTCACTGCCATGGGCCCAGCTATGACCCCTGGTCAGGGAATCAAGATTCTGTAAGCCACATAGCATGACAAAAAATATTTAAATTAAATTTAAAAAAAATAAGTAAAAATTAAAAAATAGAAAATTCAAGGAACTTCATTTTATAACTATAATTTTTAAAAAATGTAACGTATAGGTGGCTACAATAGTACCTTTCACTTTCTGCACTATGATCAGTAATATTGCACATCCATTTTTATGAAATATTTTGAATTCAGTTTCTTGTGCTCTACGAAACAAAAAACAGGAAGAATGTTTACATGAAAACACACAAAACATCTAACCATCCATCTAGCTGAATAAACTGCCAGGGATAAATTATTAAAAAAAATAGCTTATAATGCAAAACAAAATTTCTATTTAATTAGTAAAAATTTAACCTTAAGCTTTAAGTCAAATAGAAAATGTACCTTGAACACTATTAACACAAGCAAATAAAACCCACTAGTATCTAGGAAATGTTAAATGATTACATTACTAGTATTAAAAAAATTAAGCAATCACTGTGTAAATATATTATCCAACAAAAATCAGAATTCATTTCTGTTAAATCTATACTGTTGTATATAAAAGTATATATAACCCAGATAAAAACTTTGGAAGACTGGGAGTTACTACAGAAGAAAAAAATTTAATACTATTCTTTCTGTATACACACCTTTGTGCAGGTGTATACAGAGGGATATGCAAACTCATTTAAACAAAAACACACAAAAACCCTCAAGAAAATAAATACCCTCAATGATTAAGATATATTTAGTCTGGCATAGGTCATATGTGGGGTGAGGGGGAAAGGTAGTAAAACAAAGTCACTATTACTTAACCTGATTAAGCAGCCTCACAACTAGAAAAAAATTTTTTAATGCATGAAAATTTATAGCTCAAGTTGAGAATTTACAAATTCTTACATTATTTCCTTGAAACACTAAAACAAATGAAAATAAGACAGCCTTTAAATAAACTGTCCTTTAAATTAAATAGGTTTAGTATTCAATTTCATATGAATAGAATGCAAAAGGCAACTAAACCGAGAGGGTTACTTGGAATAAAAATTATGTACACGATTAGTTAACCCTTAATACATGTGCTATTTGATGTGGCAAAATCTTGCAGGCATTATCAACAGTGGTATATTTTTGATACTAAAATGACAAGGTTAGCATTTTTTTGAATAGTAAGGAAACAAATTTTCAAATGACTGCCTCTAAGCACTTTGCACCCCCAGTTCATATTTTGAAGACCTCTAAAAATGATCCTGAAGAAAAACCAGTCTAGATTATTACAAGAGTGAAGGGGGCCAAAGGCTACCTTAACAAGTCTGCATGGGACCATTCAGTCTCACCAACCATGTAGCTATGTATAAAAACTGCAAAGCTAAGTATTATTGCTCATGAACAGCTGCAAAGAAGGTCTGAAGGTGTAACTCTCAGAAAAAAATCTAACTGCAAACAAATGGAAGAAGTATTTTCAAATTACACAAGTGTATAGTACAATACTCTCTGAACAATGTTAAGTCTTTCAATTTACCAAAATTTAAGAAATTCAAGTTGGGAAATAGTATCAACGCATGGATAAAAACAGAACTACAAGTTAACATTTGTATACATTTGAGAAAAAAGTACAAAATGACAATTCCACTGAAAATCTTTGCAATATGAGTAATCTTTGCAAAATATAGTAATAAATTTTGATTAGATAGTCTAATGAAAGATGTTTCAGTGGGAATTGGTTTTCTAAAACCCTAAATTTGCAATACTGAATATATTAACAACTATCCTCAACTTAAAATAATTGCTTACCTACTTTCTTGGCACCAAGTCTTTCAAAAAAGAAAGATTAACATTTCTTTACAATTTTCTGGGGTTAAAAAAACAAAAACATGAACACTGATAATCCAGAAATATATTCTTACAAGACCCTAACATAGTGGTTATATAGTTTGAAATTAGCCACTAACTTTGGAGAGAAAAATTTGGAGAAAAATCATATCTATTCATATCCAACATTTATCAAAATATATTAAAAAATATTAACTGTAACTAGATGATCACTGTGGTATTAAAGAACTGATTCTCAAAATACAACCTATGTAGAGCAACCCACTCATTCTAAGAATAAGGTAACGGAGAGTCACATAAACTATCTAACTTGCCTATGATCTCTTTTCTTTGGTAAAGAGTATTTCACCACCTTGATCTTTAAAGCTTTACTTTCCAGTTTTAAAACTTTGTGGGCCAGTCAACAATAACTAAATATAAAAAGCCATAAAAATAATTCGTAAGGTATGTACTAGATTATATGGCTATTGACCTCTCAGAAATTAGTATTTCAAACTTAAACTTAATTCATTAATTATGTGGTTGAAATGGATCCAATTTATTTCTAAACAGAAAATAGTTAACTCATTATCAAGCACCTGACATTCAACTTCTTGATCAACAGTCGATAAAAGTAGTTATAATTTGCTTTATAAAGTCACAGCATAATTTAGAAATGTGAGGCATGATTAAATACGCAACAAATCTCAGAACTATAGAGAATTTTCTGATGAGAAATAAAGGTCATGGCTTTGTCTAACATGCATGGCAGCAAATGATTCCAGAACCACATTGGTCAAACCAATCTCCCAGCTTATCTTTAAGGCAGTGCAGAGGTCCAGGACTAGCTGTTTTAATTCACAATCATATATTCTCATGAATGATGATGAAAGGAGTTCCTGGAAACATTTCTAGAGCAAGCTTGTACGCATTATCTGGTGCATAGCTACATTTTCAGTGCTATCTTAGTGTGATTTATGTGGAATGCTAAACATATTTTTCAATACATACATTATAATAACTGAGTTATCAGGAATACACCACTTGCAAAACTTTCAGCATTTGAGCACAGGACAAAATGAATACTTTACCAAGAACTGCCGGCACATTTCAGACAGAAGCCAAAACATGCAGCAAAAAAGGAAAAGGCACTAACAGAAATTGAGGAGAAAAGAGTAAATTACAGCTCTGTAATTTTAATTATGGTTGGATTCTTAAAACAGTTAAAAGGGATCACAAAATATTCAGTGGACTACACAAGACAATGTAAATATTATATTACCTGCATGTCTCACAAACTTCTAAATACATAAATGCCAACTGACAACAGATTTTACATATAATATTTAATCAAATTTATGGTATACTAAAACATGTAAAAATCATGCTTACAGATGTGAATCAATGAAAAGCACACTGCCTTAACTTTACAAGGTTAAATTCATCAAAATGCAATATTAAGTCTCTAGGTGTCAGAAAATTTTGTTTTTTAATATCATGTATTCATACCTGCCATTGCAGCTGAAATCATGTGTACCTGGGTAGAATCAGGATCAAATAAACCATTCAACTTTTCCTTGCAGTTTGAATAAGCAGCAAAGTATATGGCTCTAAAATAAAGATTTAAATTTTGTCAATGAGCATGTTGCTTAATTCATAAGATTTAAATGGCATATAAATTGATCTTTCTTATTTCAGAGTCCAGAAATCTAAAAACATAAACAAAATCTTAAGTTATTATATTTTCATGTAATATCTACATATTTTTAAAGAAGACCATGAAGTATTTTTTGTATTGACTCATTAAAGATAAACTTAAATGTAAAGCATTCTCAAACAGATGCTCATATCCCAATATTTTAACAGCAACTGACTGAAACAAAAAGTGTTTATATAATAAGACTTTGATGATCAGAAAACACACAAATAAGGCTGAAAGGCTTTTACAGCACTAAGGGTAAGTTAAATACACTTAAGTGGACATGATATGGGTATTTTATGTTGTTTTTGAAGAGAGGAAGGTAGAACTGACAAATAATCAAAGTGAATGTTCAACAATTTTGACACGTTGTGCCATGTATCAATCTATACTACACAGAGAGTAGTTTACAGCATCCCTAAACAGACAGAACAACTGCAAAAGAAATCAGTCACATCGGGTCTTATCAGGTATTCTAACATTTGTAAACACTGCATTAAATTTGTAAATATTTTCCCTGCTAACTTATTAATTGTGACTTTATGCATTCAACTACCTCCTCACTGTTTACAGCTTTCCGGGCATTGAGTTACTTGCCGCTGTATCAAATATCTTGTTATTTTCCAACAATCCTGATTCTCTAAGAAGGGAAAGAGTAAACAATTAAAAATGGGGCAAATCTCATTGTTGTGTTTTTTTTTAACGTGCTTAAGAAAAAACGGAAGTCAATAAAGCTGAAAATTGAAATATTCCATTTCATGAAAAAAAAGGACACACTAAATAACATCAAAGTAGGAAGAGGAATAAACACTGCATTACTAGATATGAATAAGGAAAAAAGCACCCTCATGAGAAAAAGGGCAAGGAATATGCATATGTAATTCACAGAAGAGAGATACAAATGAAAAACAGTTCCAAGGAGGAGGACATGAAAGCACCAAAATAAAACAAATATATAACAGTGAAAATCATGGGTAGTCTATTTGGCAAGTATTAAAATACATGGAGAGTTGCCAACATTTGTAATATGTGGATAAAGAGCAATTCCCTACTTGGGAATAAAAGGAATGCATGCCTTTTCAGAAGGCAATTGAGCACTAACTTTAAATGTTCGTATGCCCTTCAGTCCAGAAATTTTACTTTTAGGTAACTATCCTAAAGAAAAATACTTGCTTAAGTACTCACAGATAAAGGCACAGCTATGTTTCCAAAACCATTGTTTTTAACAGCAAAAATGTGGAAATAAATCTAAAGGTTTACAAATAAGGGAGTCAATCATACTACACAAGTTTAAAAAAACTCAGCTATCTTCATGGAAAAAGCTTCAAGACAAATTTGGTGAAATAGTTCAATATGATTCAATTTATATAAATGATAATAAACATATATATTGTGCTTTTCATGTACACAATTAGCCAGAAAAAAATAGAGAATACTATAAACCAAACTTTTATCATAGCTATCTATCTATGGGGAGGGCAGAGAGTAACTGTGTGTAGAAAGGTACACTGGGTGAGGGGGGATGTGTTTAAGGTGACATGTCAAGCTTTACGCTACACGTTTTTTTAGACCTCACAATAAGAATGGATTTTGGATCAGGTTTTAAAAAGAAAGAGCCCACAAAAAGTTGAAATCCCATAAATAACAGGATCTGGTTCTGTTACACTACTTCGATACGGAGACCTGGGTACACATTTTCTGAATGTGAACTCTGCTGTATTTTATCATGGAAAAAGTCAATCTGAAATAAAAAGATATCAGAGAAAAATGACAACATATTAAGGCCTTTTTGGTTTTTTTTGAACTTGGTGCAAAGACTGCTTCATGACAATCTCATACGTGACAATGACAACTGAGGTCCTTCACACCTCCACATGATACAATCTGCCCATCCTTTTGGATGGTTACTGATATCCATCTGTCACAGTGCTTCATCCTTATCATTTTGACTTCTCGTCAGCATCTCCTCTCATTAAACTTGAAACAAGAAAGACTGCCACAACTGAATTAACTTAAAAGTGTTTTTTACCTGGAAGGGGCCACCCCCACCAAATTGGGGCCTAATCCTCTAAATAGGGAACGAGGCCCTTCTTTTTCCAAGATCACCCTGAAAGAGAAAAATATTATTTAGAAAGGAACGTCCTTCAAAGTGTGGTACTTTATTTATTCAGAAAATATAAAAGTCTAAATCTCCTATGTTTTGTATTATGTTATAAATGCTCTTGTCAGTGTTCCTCACCTCACATGTGAAAACCTGCTTTCCTTGACAGAATATATAATAAAGATTGATAACAGATTTACTAGTGAAACTCCATTCAGATTCTTTCCTGAAAGTTTCAGAGACATAATCATCAATATAGATTTCTACATTTTCATATGATCATGCTACTCTTTTATCTCCTCCATTTTACTATGTTTATCAGCAACTTCAATTCCCAATTAGAAATGCAGCTGCTTCCTAGTATTGCAGATCCCTTCCTTGATACTGGACAACGCTCTCCCATTGCAGCAGTATCTTATCCAACCATTTTAGTGAAATGCTATGGCAAAAATCTACCACCCTTACATCCTTGAGGGTACTGAAGTGGTTAGTCTGCTACTGTTTCTCCCTCTCTTAGTTAACATTTACTATATGGAATAGTTATTGTGTAAAGACTAAACACAGTAAGGAGATAGAAAAGATGGTAAGGCCCCTGCCACTGAGAAATCTGCTGCCCATTCGTGGAAAAAAGAATTAGGCTGAAGTAAGTAATTTAACAGACCATATTAATAAGTAAATACTAAACACAGGCTCAGCAGGGAGAGGAACAGAGAGGCATGTCCAAGTCATAGAAGGTTTTCTGAAGGTGAGCTATTAAATGAGATTTGGGGGTAAGAAACATAGATTGATGAAGTGTAGGTATTTTAACTCAGAGTTAACAGACTAGGCCAGTGGTTTTGAAGTATCTATATGCTTAAGAATGATTGCTTGAAAGGCAGTTGAGCATAATGCTTAATTAAGGGCCTGAAATGTGGGGCCAGACTTCTTAATATAAAGCCCAATTCTGGTAACTGACTAGTTGTGAAACATAAAGTAATGACCTTTCTCTTATCCTTATTTTTCATCAACAGTAAACGGAAAAACAATATTTTCAGGGGGGAGGTAGGGTGGTGGTTACTATGAGGAATGTGTGCTATGTGCTAAGTCGCTTCAATTGTGTCTGACTCTGTGTGACACTATGAACTGTAGCCTGCCAGGCTCGTCTGTTCACGGGATTCTCCAGGCAAGAATACTGGAGTGGGTTGCCACGCCCTTCTCCAGGGGACATTCCCATCCCAAGGATCAAACCCAGATCTCTTATGTCTCCGGCATTGGCAGGCGGGTTCTTTACCACTAGCACCACCTGGGAAGCCCAAGTTAATTAAAAACAAGAGCTTAAAAGAGTACCAGGCTTACAGAAAACACTTGATAAATCTTAATATTATCATTATTATTGGAGCATTTGTTCAAAATGAAAATTTCTTAGATTATACCCTCAAAGTATTCTGATTCAATAGTATAGGACAGTGTTTAGCAACTTGCATTTTTACCATGCTGCCAGATGACTGATATAGGTGATACAGAACACTTTAGATAATACTAGGTTAAGACAGAAGCAGAATTAAAAATGACAAATTGTAGAACACATTTAATAAATTTCAGTGTTTGCTACTCCCTTCTGTGATAAATTCTTTTGAGAAGTTAAGAAAGGTAACTGTCCTTTAAAAGAAAGACATTTGCAAACACTCACAATATTGCACACAATTTCAACCTAATATATAGATCTCTGGAAGCTCATCCATGAGTCCCTAAGAAACTAACAGAACCTAAGGGGGAATTCCCAAAATTCCGGGTTAAGAAGCCATGAAACACTTTATACCCACTAGGATGGTTACATAAAAAAAGACAGATGGAGTAAAACAAACGCTGGTGAGGATTTTTATTTTATATTTCATTTTTTGGCAAGGAATTAGAAACCTCATTCATTGGTGGTGGGAATGCAAAATAATGCATCCATTCTGGAAAATGGTTTGGCAGTTCCCCAAAGTGTTAAATATTATAAAGTTGCCAAATGACCCAGCAATTCATCTCCTAACACAATATATATCCCCCCAAAAAAGAAAACATGAACAATAAAATATGTTTCTATAATGGCATTATTCACAATACTCCAAAAGGGGAGACAATGCAAATGTTCATCAACTGATGGGTGGATAAACACATGTAGTACATACCTATACAGTGGAACATTTGGCAATAAAAAGATGCTTGCTACAGCATAGATGAACCTTGAAAACTGGCTGAGCGAAAGAAATCAGTCACAAAAGACCACATATTACATAATCTCATTTACATAAAATGCCCTGAATATGCAAGTCCTTAATGACAGAAAATAGATTAGTAGTTGTTGCCTAGGGTGGGGTGGGGGGGGGTGGGTAGGAAAAAGAGAAAATAGGAGTGACTGCTAACAGGAAAGGGTTTCTTCTTGTGGTGATGATGAGTATGTTCTAAATTTAGAGTGTGGTGATGTGAACATACAACTCTGTGAATGCAAACTCTGTGAATATAATATACTAAGAATAACTGAGCTATACACCTTAAATGGGTGAATTTTACAGTATGTAAATTATCTCTGAATAGAGATGATGGGAAAAAAGGAAGAAGCCATAAAACATTGATTAGGGAAAAAAATGGGAATATGAAGAGAGGTTAAGGCAAGAAAATGCAGACTTGGAAGTCATCTGGGTACTGATGATAGGTGAAACATTAAACTGACTTTTTACATGGGGGAGTCCTAGGTGGCACTAATGGTAAAGAATCCACCTGCCAATGCAGATAATGCAAGAGACTTGGCCTTGATCCCTGGGTTGGAAAGATCCCCTGGAGAAGGAAATGGCAACCCACTCTAGTATTCTTGCCTGGGAAATGCCATGGACAGAGAAGTGCGGTGGGTTACAGTTCCTGAAAAACTGAGAAATTAAAACAGAAACTAGAGGGATTCCTATTAGTTCCTCTGGGGGAAGTCAGAGAAGGCAAAACCACTGAAAAATGAAAAAAAAAAAAAAATAGCACTGTCAAAAAGGTCAAAGGAAGAATTTTAAGAGGAAGTCAGTGGTAATGTCAAAATCACAGTATTAAAAGATTTATCATTAACCACATAGAAGTATTTATCTGTAACTATGGCATGTTAACCCAAAATTGTTAACAATTTTATTCTGCCTACTCAAGTACTTAGGTAAGTTTGAAAAAAAGTGATGAAACCTTTTAGTAGTGAAAGTAAACACAAAGTATGAGTTTACTTGCTACCACAAAATAAACACTATTGAACTAAGTTCAAATAGATTATGTCCCAAGTGAGCTGATAAGACAGACACACAGGCCTTGAGTTACCTGTTCATGCTTGTGCTCAGTCGCTAAGCTGTGTCCAATTCTTTGCAATCCCATGGACTGTAGCCCACCATACTCTTCTGTCCATGGGATTTCCCAGGCAAGAATATGAGAGTGGGCTGCTATTTCCTTCTCCAGGGCATCTTCCCAACCCAGGGATCAAACCCACATCTCCTGGGTTTAAATGTGTAAAATCCAATTTCAATAGTTTTTTAAAAAAATATTTACTTATTTATTTGGCAGTACTGGGTCTTAGCTGTGGCATGTGAGATCTAGTTCCCTGACCAGGGATCAAACCCAGGGCCTGTGCTTTGGGTGCATGGAGTCTTAGCCACTGGACCACCAGGCAAGTCCCCCATTTTCAACAGTTTTGAAATTTCAAATCTAACTTGTAATATAATGAAGTATGACAGAGTGTAAAAATACATCTTTTTCAAACCACTAAGAAATGCCAAACACTAAATTACATTTTAAAATCTGCTTTAAATCTTGGTTATATTTAGGCTGTACAAAAATCAGACTGTCATTAATTGGATGTACTTATGTGTGAGTACTTTGAAAATTAAAAACACACACGTAAGAATTAGCATTTAACATTATCACATTTCAAAAACTAAATTTAGAATTTATAATCCAAAACAAATAAACACAAAGTATGAGTTTACTTTGATATCTTTCTGAATTATGTCTTTTGAAAATAAACTGAATGGATAAATGTAGAAAAATATTTTAAATGCACATGATTTGGAAATAATATTACATTTTATATTATCCAACTTACTTTTTCTCTCCATTAAGGATTACTGTTTCTACTGAACAAGTGAGAGTAATTCTGTCATTAAGTCTGTAACACCTTTTTAAATATGGCAGAATATAAATAAGTCAACATGGCCATCATCATTAAGGTAAACCAACAACAACAAACATTAGTGAACACTGTGCTCTCACTTTAGACAATGGAGAGGTCCAGGAGACACTACTCGATTGACACTGGCTCCAGCCATGGTACTCAGCTGAACTTCAGAGATATAAAGTGTCACAGAAGATGACTGCAGCCGTGTTTTCACAACTTCCAGTGGACATGTCAGAATAGCTCCCACTGTACCACCACATCTATAAGAAAGTACAAAGAACAAAATTCTACTTAATTCATAAATTAGTACACATGCACAGAGCTGTGAAATAAAATGAGCAGCTGGGGCTTTGAGAAGGTACTAAAAGCTACAACTTCTGTATTTAGGAGACTAAATAATTTTTTACATGTTTCAAGTATTTGACTGTATAGAAACATTTAGAAGCTAAAACTAACAGTCTACCTAGCAAGAAAAGTTAGCTGAAGAGTCCAAACAGTGCTACTGTTAAAATGTATTGGTACATCACATCACAGCTTTAAACACTGTTATAAGGGTTTACTTAGTACTCCTTGCCCAGGTATTACTTGTGTTGAAACTGAGACAATTATGTGAGATACATCCTATTTCTCAAACTCCTACCCTATCTTTCAATGCTCAAGAAATAGTCTTGACAACCTAAGGATATACTGGGCCGCACCGAGTACAAGATCTTGGCTTAATTCTTACGATTTTAATAATACTGCTAGCTATTTTACAAGATTATTGTTTCTTGCATTACCAGATGTGTGACTCAGTATCTGACAAAAATATAATTTTATGAGTTATGATCTTAACTCTAGATACAGGAAGATAAATAAGAGGACATTTCCCCCTGGATCATAACAGGTAAAGACAGGTGGTAGAGAGTCCTTTGGTTACTGTTGAAATGACCCAGCCAAGTACTATAAGTGAAATCTCTGCCAGATCTAGGAATGCGTTCCTAGCACCACGGGACAAAATGATCATAAAATGCCTCCCCAAGTGTGGTTGAATTTATGACCATGAGGGGACCCTGTCAACTACAAATTGGCACTTGCCATCTACCTCTACAAGGATTAAATCATGTGCTGCTGCAGCTGCTGATTTTCAACACCCCATGAAAGGAGTTCAGGGGGGAGAGCAGAAATGAGGCACTCTGTGCTTGGGGGAGAACTGGCAGAACAGGTCTTCAGATAGATATTTCCAGGAGCTGATTTTATGAACCCAATTCTTTATGTCCTTTTATCTAGAAAAGCACTAAAATCCTTCATGGTGATTACTGCTCCTTGTGACTAGCCGAAACCTTCTGCAGCATCATCTTTTAGGATTTGAAATAGCACAACTGGAATTCCATCACTTCCACTAGCTTTGATGCTTCCTAAGCCCACCTGACTTCACATTCCAGGATGTGTGACTCTAGGTGAGTAACCACACCATCGTGATTATCTGGGTCATGAAGATCTTTTTTGTATAGTTCTGTGTATTCTTGCCACCTCTTAATATCTTCTGCTTCTGTTAGGTCCACACCATTTGTGTCCTTTATTGAACCCATCTTTGCATGAAATGTTCCCTTGGTATCTCTAATTTTCTTGAAGAGATCTCTAGTCTTTCCCATTCTACTGATTTCCTCTATTTCTTTGCACTGATTACTGAGGAAGGCCTTCTTATCTCTCCGTGCTATTCTTTGGAACTCTGCATTCAAATGGGAATATCTTTCCTTTTCTCCTTTGCTTTTTGCTTCTCTTCTTTTCACAGCTATTTGTAAGGCCTCCTCAAAGAGCCATTTTGCTTTTTTGCATTTCTTTTTCTTGGGGATGGTCTTGATCCCTGTCTCCTGTATAACGTCATGAACCTCCGCCCATAGCTCATCAGACACACTGTCTATCAGATCTAGTCCCTTAAATCTATTTTTCACTTCCACAGTATAATCGTAAGGGATTTGATTTAGGTCATACCTGAATGGTCTAGTTTCTTCAATTTAAGTCTAAATTTTGCAATAAGGAGTTCATGATCTGAGCCAGTGAGCTCCTGGTCTTGTTTTTGCTGACTGTATAGAGCTTCTCCATCTTTGGCTGCAAAGAATATAATCAATCTGATTTCAGTGTTGACCATTTGGTGATTTCCATGTATAGAGTCTCTCTTGTGTTGTTCAAAGAAGGTGTTTGCTATAGCACTGCATTCTCTTCAGTTCAGTTCAGTTGCTCAGTAGTGTCTGACTCTTTGCGACCCCATGAACCACAGCACACCAGGCCTCCCTGTCCATCACCAACTCCCGGAGTCCACCCAAACCCAAGTCCATTGAGTCGGTGATGCCATCCAACCATCTCATCCTCTGTTGTCCCCTTCTCCTCCTGCCTTCAATCTTTTCCAGCACCAGGGTCTTTTCCAATGAGTCAGCTCTTCACATTAGATGGCCAAAGTATTGGAGTTTCAGCTTCAACATCAGTCCTTCCAATGAACACCCAGGACTGATCTCCTTTAGGATGGGCTGGTTGGATCTCCTTGCAGTCCAAGGGACTCTCAAGAGTCTTCTCCAACACCACAGTTCAAAAGCATCAATTCTTCGGTGCTCAGCTTTCTTTATAGTCCAACTCTCACATCCATACATGACCACTGGAAAAACCATAGCCTTAACTAAATGGACCTTTGTTGGCAAAGTAATGTCTCTTGCTTTTTAGTATGCTGTCTAGCTTACATTCTCTTGGCAAAACTCTATTAGCCTTTGCCCCAATTCATTCCAAGCCCAAATTTGCCTGCTACTCCAGGTGTTTCCTGACTTCCTACTCTTGCAGTCCAGATTATATTGTTTGGGATTATATTCCGAAACAAAACTGAAAAAAAAAAAAAAAAAAAAGACAGACACTTCACCTAAGACATATGGATACAAATAAAAACAGAAAATTTTTCAAAATCATTTGTCACCAGGAAAATGAAAATTAAAACCACAATGAGGAAGCACTGCACATCTACTAATGGATTAAAATTTAAAGGTAAAAACACAACTGAAATACCAAAAAGGATTTGTGCAGTGTATGGGAACATGCTGTGACTGATCAAATATATCAAAAGTGGTTTGCAAAGCTTTCATGCTAGAGATTTCTTGATGCTCCATGGCTGGGTAGCCCAGTTGAAGCTGATAGTAATCAAATCAAGACATTAACTGAGAATAATCAATGTTATACCACATAGGAGATAGCCGACATACTCAAAATATTTAAATCAAGCCTCAAAAAATTATTTGCACCAGCAGCTTGGTGACATTAGGGTCTACATAAGTGAAAAAACTTCCTGATCATATTTCCCCACTCAATTCTCCACTGAAAATGTAACAAAAGTTTCATTTTTAAAGTGGGTGAAGAAAACTGGAACTGAAGAGATCATGGGGCAGGGGAAATGAACCACCACCAACCACACCAAAGGCCAGGCTTTATCCAAAGGTGAGGTTGTGTACATGGTAGGACTGGAAGGGAGCCCTCTGTTAGGAGCTCCTTCCAGAAAACGATTAATTTCAACAAGTCCTGCTCCCAATCCCAGATGGCTCAGTGGTGAAAAATCTTCCTGCTAATAGAGGAAATGCAAGAGATGTGTTTTTGATCCCTGGGTCGGGAAGATCCCCTGGAGTAAGAAATGGCAACCCACTCCAGTGATTCTTGCCTGGAAAACTCCATGGACAGAGGAACCTGCCAGGCTACAGTCCATGGGGGGTCACAAAGAGTCTGATAAAACTGAGCAATCCCACTCCTGGGCATAATTATGGAGAAAACTCTGACTCAAAAAGATACATGCACCCAGTGTTCATAGTAGCACTATTTACAACAACTAGGACATGGAAGCAATGTAAACAGACATCAACAGATAAATGGATAAAGAAGATGTGGTATATATATACACAATGGAATGTTACTCAGCCATGAAAAAAAAAAATGAAATAATGCCATTTACAGAAACATGGACAGACCTAAATGAAGTAAGACAGGGAAAAACAAATACATGATATCACTTATATATGGAGTCTAAAAAAATTCTACAAATGAACTTATTCACAAAACAGAAGCAGATTCAGACACAGAAAACAAATTTATGGTTGCCAAAGGGGAAAGGGTGAGGGAGGGATAAAATCAGGAGTCTGGGATTAGCAGATACAAACCAGATACACACACACACACACACACACACAACAAGGTTTTACTATATAGCACATGGAACTATATTAAATATCTCCTAATAAACTTGTAATAATGGAAAAGAACTGAAAAGGATATATACATATAACTGAATCACTTTGCTGTATACCAGAAACTAACACAAGATTGTAAATCAATCGTAAGTTAAGTGTTAGTCACTTAGTCGTGCCCGACTCTTGGTAATCCCATGGACTGTAGCCCACCAGGTCATGCTATACAATAAAACAAAGAACAATAAAATGTGGTATGCCTACACATGCCCACTCAAAGACCTGTCCGCAAATGTTTATAGCAGTTTTACTCTAAGTCAAAAGTTCAGCCAAAAACGAAAATGTCCATCACCTGATTACAGATGAACAGGTTATGGTCTATCTATACAATGGATTACCACTCTATAATAAAAAGCCACAACCTAAACCAACCTCAAAAGCAGTCAGCTAACTGCAGGGGGGTGGCGGGGGAGGGGGTAAAAAAAAACACACCACACACAAAACTGGCACAAGAGGCCTTTATTTTATGACATACTGGAAAAGGCAAAACTAGAACCAAAATAAGATCAGCAGTTATCAAAAGGCAGTGGAGGTGGAAAGAATCGACTGCGAGGGGCAAGGAGGAATTCTTGGGATAATAGAAATGTCCTATGTTTTGATTACAGTATAGGCATACCTCATTGTATCATGCTTCACAGGTACTGAGTTTTGTATAAATTGAAAGTCTGTGGCAACTCTATGTTGTTAGATGATGGTCAGCACTTTTTTGGGGGGGGGTGGTTTCCCATTGGCTCAGTGGTTAAGAACCTGTCTGCCAATGCAGGAGACACAAGTTTGAACACTGAGTAGGTAAGATCCCCTGGAGAAGGAAATGGCAACCCACTCCAGTATTCTTGCCTGGAAAATCTCATGGACAGAGAAGCCTGGTGGGCTACAATCCATAGGGTCATGAAAGAGTCAGACACAACTAAGCAACTAAATGACTTTTTAAAATTAAATACCAATCAAGTCCATTTGTCTTTTTTTTGTTTGTTTTTTTAATTGCCTGTGCCTTGCAGCTTGCGGGA